GAATGCACACAAACGCACCAGCAGGTCCAACGACTACAACAGAATATAAGAAAATCACAAGTTTGAAACTGGGAGGGTAACGATGATCTTTTTTGATATAAATATATCACAAATAAAAGAAAAATCATGTGAAATAACATGAGCCAAATTAAAGGATCCGTAAAAGCTGTGCAAAGCCGAAGCTAGTAAAACTCTGAAATAAAACTTTTGATCCGATTCTAATCGGATCGCTTCAATATTAGGCGAAAGAGTAGGAAGTGCAGGAAATTTATAAGAGAACAATAATGGAAAGGTTTAAATGTAATGAAATGACGCAATTGCAGAATATCAATGCCTATGGAAAAAGGAAACCAACCCGGAATAGAGAACAAACGGCTCCGTCGTTTTTTCCTTATATTAGTTAATCACAACGTAGGGGAGACAGCACACAAAAGCCTAAGCTAATCATAGAAATTTTAGCGCACCGTTCTCTTCACCGTTACAATGGATTCATCAGCGTGATCTTCCACAAACATTGGTGATGATCATGCACTTTATGGTACATTCTCTAGATAGATCTCGGGAAAAAAAAAGAATCATAAACGAGTGTTTCCCTCAAAATGGCAAACGTTCAAAAAGAGCTACGTATTATGATAATTTCGTTACTATCTCCCAAAAAGAGCACAAATATGACACCAACTAGAGTGGATATGACGCCGAAAGTGCTGACACGTCCCTCGAACGATCATTGCAGGATAAAACCGTCTCACATCAGTAAAGAATAAATATGAAACATAGTAACAGATTAAAGTCCAGCTAGCGATGTAGAGTTTGATCAATACACGCCTTCAGACTTCAGACGTACGTTTCAACTCGAACGCGACGACGTGAAGAAGGATCTAGAGAATCAACAAATAACAAGAAAAAGGACCAGAACTTCAGAAAAAAAAATTAAGAACAAGTATTCCTCTGCAAAACAAGACGTATGTGAGTAAGAAGCTGATAGTAGAAGTGGGACATTACAGAAAGCAACAGAGTCATTGACAGAAGAACACCGAGTACTCGTATCGAGGTTAGTTCGCCTGACAAACCAACTATGACGATGTGGACTTGTCCTTCTTCTTCATGAATGAAAATAAGCTTTTCTTCTTCTTCTTTTTTTCGCCTTTTGACGAAGCCTAAATGTTAAAGCGTCATTCCGAGGAGTTAACAGGAGAAGTGGGAGAGGAACTTATGTATGCGCATTGTTGAACGGTTCACATTGATGTTGCTTAAGAACAAAGTTCATAACGCTACAATGCGGACGTGTTTCAAAGAATGGCCCACTTTCAAGAAAGCAAAGTCGGCAAGTTCCATAGTTTGCTTATTAATTCATATGTTGAGTTTGACTCCTACTAGACTGACATTTTTCAGACCTACGCATGCGAATTGAACCGACATCTGAGAATACGCAAAACACAGGCACCCCATCGATTAAGCTTGATAACTCACTTCGTCTTCAGACATTGTGGCGTTCGACCGGGCTGAAGAATTCCCTAGAAGTTAAGAAAAATTCGAATGCAAATCAGCGAAACGCTGACACCAAAGAAAACAGCCAAAGAGAGCATGCACGACTAATGTACATTCGTTCGCAAAAGAGGCTGTCAAAGTTGGTCAGTTAACATCATGGGCTTCATGCTTTTCCAACATATTGGGAACGTCTGCACATTTAAAGGGGAAAAAAAGAAACCAACCAAGGGGTAGGGTCGCTGGTGTACGCTCGCTTTTTGTACGACGGAAGAAGGTGGACAAGTTGGATTTTCGTCGTTGCGAAGTTTCGAGGTCTACACGTGACACAACAATCATCACAACACAAACCAGGGTTTTACGAGCAATACACAAGGAGAAAAAAGCAAAGATGCAGCCAGTTAACAAGAAGCAAAGGACTGTTGAACTTGACAAGTTTTCTTCTGTTCAAAATGTCAAATAACTCCGTCAAATGATTTCCAGGAGAATGGAATCTACACAACTAATCCAATCACAACACTTACAGTCGATATCCAGCGTAAGGCTTCCCTTCTGTGAATGAGTGCGAGGGGATTCGGAGATACTTCTTACTGAAAACACATGCACAACAACTAAAACCTAGAGAAACTGGAAATAAGTAAAGTTTGGATAGATATGCCACAACTAGAACGACTAAAATAAAGTCAAAAAGAAAAATACTACTAGCACACAAGCAACATAGTTCAGGTGTATATGCCATCCCAACAAATTCTCACAACACCGACCTTTACAAACCTCATCAAGTAGTTGCATAGATGTATCAAAATTGTT